AGAGTTGAGTAATATTTCAATCCAAAAAGCTCGGAGATGATGATGAAAAGTAAGGTCAATTGTACACCGTAAGAGAATCCGATCAACAACGAAGCAATGTAGACTGAACCCGGGAAGGGCAACGCGATCAACAGGTCTCCGATGCATGGTAACACGAGGGAAAATGTCATCATAAGAGTACGAGGTATTTTCCATTTCAAAACTAGTTTTTCTGAGACAAACCCTGAAAAAACCCTACCAAAAAAATTCCATATGCTTACTAGGGAAACAAATGTACTGATGGTATGAGTTGGATAGCCTAATGATTCACCAATTTGGCCTAAATTATCAACTGCAGTTAAACTGCAACCTAATCCACAAAATGTAGCCACGAAAAGAACTATCATGTCTATACTTAGTATGGCTTGTAATATTGTGTAATCTTCACCCCTTTTCGGTTTTTTGCATATGTTTTCATACCATGAAGTTTCTTTCTTTTCTTCGACCATGGGTTTCGAATATTCCACCAATTCGACGATTTCTGGCTCAATCTCTTCTGCATGTTTTGATTCTATCAAAGGTGGTTCCTCAACAAGAACCCCAGATGGGGCTTTTCTAGCTTCCTCTTTGTTCAATCTCCAAGTATAAAATTCTTCTCGGATCGCAATAAGGCACGGAAGGAAAAGCAAAGCACAAACGACAGTGGCACTTCCTATTAAGGCTTTATGAGAAAAATTAACATATTTTTGTGCTATTGTTAATCCCATTAAGACCAATGCCAAAGTAACAGATATTATCAGATTCTCATATAAAACACGAATCTCATTTGGATGCCTAGAAAGTTTCAGTGTCCTAATGTTAAAGATAAAGAATATTGAAATCGCTGCTGGGAGCCAACCAATGAGAAGAATTAAAGATATACCATCATTTCCATATATTGCAAGATAAAGTTGGGTAAAAACTGCACCACTTAGTCCTACATAACCCTTCATTAAACCTAGAAACATACCTCGACCTTCTGGAAAGTTTTTCACACAGGTAACAACTGAACCCGTGTTTGCGAAATTCTGCGAATTCGCCCGAATGCATATATAGAGACACATTTGCCAAACTTTGGGTGTTGATATTCTTCTAGTCACTGAAAGCCATATCATAAAATAGCCTGCAAAATTCATGAGTGATCCGATCAAGAGCACGACCCATGTTGGCGTAACCTCGGCTATTAGGCCGGATAGAACTCCGACATTTGCTCCCAAATCTTTGCATGTGCTTAAAGTATTAAGGGTTGATTGATCATAGCCAAGGGTGGCCTTTATCACTTTTGAATAAACACCAAAGAGATATGTTGCACCAGCACCAGCCATTATCAAGAAGGAAGCAAACATCATGAGCCAGCGGCCAGTGAGGACTTGCACTGTAAAACGACACAATCTACATCCTTTTCCCGGTGGAGAGTTAGTGGTAATCCCTGTTTCAGCCATCACTAATCTTGGTTCTTGAACGACTGAATACGTATTCTGAAGATTGAAATATGAATTAAAATTTGTTGATTATTTTTTAGGATTTTGGATAATGAAACCAGCACAATTTATAATTGCTTTAGATAAGATAAGATATAGTTGTTAGAGATAAAATAGCTCTCTAATTTGATTTTTCTGTTAAAGAATCTAATTTCCAGTTGCATATTCTATCTGTCTATATTTTACACATCCCTTTTTTTTTT